TAAAAATCAGAGATACTAGGTAATGTTTTTTTTTATTTTTATTAAATCTTTATTGTTCAGATTACATTTGTTCCTCTTTTTTCCCCCCCATAACTCCCCTCCTCCCAGTTCCCGCCCCACCCTCCGCCCTCACTCCCCACCCACTGCCCTCATCCATAGGTGCACGATTTTTGTCCAGTCTCTTCCCGCATCTCCCACTCTCCTTTCCCCCCCAAGAATAGTCAGTCCATTCCCTTTCTATGTCCCTGATTCATTATAATCACCAGTTCATTCTGTACATCAGATTATTTATTCACTTGATTCTTAGATTCACTTGTTGATAGATGCATGTTTGTTGTTCACAATTTGTATCTTTACCTTTTTCTTCTTCCTCTTCTTAAAGGATACCGTTCAGCATTTCGTATAATACTGGTTTGGTGGTGATGAACTCCTTTAGCTTTTCCTTATCTGTGAAGCTCTTTATCTGACCTTCAATTCTGAATGATAGTTTTGCTGGATAAAGTAATCTTGGTTGTAGGTTCTTGGTATTCATCACTTTGAATATTTCTTGCCATTCCCTTCTGGCCTGCAAAGTTTCTGTTGAGAAATCAGCTGACAGTCGTATGGGTACTCCCTTGTAGGTAACTGAGTTTCTTTCTCTTGCTGCTTTTAGGATTCTCTCTTTGTCTTTTGCTCTTGGCATTTTAATTATGATGTGTCTTGGTGTGGTCCTCTTTGGATTCCTTTTGTTTGGGGTTCTCTGTGCTTCTTGGACCTGTAAGTCCATTTCTTTCACCAGGTGGGGGAAGTTTTCTGCCATTATTTCTTCAAATAGGTTTTCAATATCTTGCTGTCTCTCATCTTCTGGCACCCCTATAATTCTGATATTGGTGCACTTGAAGCTGTCCCAGAGGCTCCTTACACTATCTTCGTATTTTCGGATTCTTTTTTCATCTTGCTTTTCTGGTTGGGTGTTTTTTGCTTCTTCGCATTTCAAATCTTTGACTTGATTCTTGCGCTCCTCTGGTCTGCTATTGGGTGTCTGTATAATATTCTTTATTTCAGTCAGTGTATGCTTAATTTCTAGTTGGTTCTTTATCACAACATCGAGGGTCTCATTAGATTTCGTGAGGCTCTCATCAAGTTTATTGGCAGCTTCTAGCACATTATTGAAAGTCCTCAAAAGTGCGTTTTTTAGCTCTATATCCTCCATTTCTGTCATGTTTTTTTGTCTCCGCATTTTTTATGCTTTCTTGGTGCACCCCCTTGTGGTCTTTGTGCGCAGTCTTGTTCTAGTTAAGCCTTGATTGTTGTAGTTAATACTAGAGGGATTTGACCACCAGGCCGACTGGCTGTGAGAATCAGCTGTATCTGCAGTGGGAAAACTTCTGTCCTCTGGAGAGGTGCTAATCTAGCCTTTGCCTGAGGCGATCCGGCAAATGGCTCTGCGCAGGGCCTGGGCGGGGCGGGTCCCAGGGGATCTACAGGGCGGGCGGAGGGAGCAGTTATGGCTGCTCTCAGTCCCGTTCCCAGAGGCTCTGCTTCTCAGAACCCCAGCAAGGGCTGCAAACCTCGGAGAGAAAGCTGCCCTCACGTTTCGACTGATGGCAGACAATCTCGCTTCTCACGCATGAGTCTGAGTCCCTAGAGACTCGCCCGGATCTGGAGCTCAGAGTCTGAGACTCCCTCCTGATTGAAAACGACAACCGCGCCCTCAGCCACCAGCCGGCTCCACGCACACCTCCGTACCTTTGTATTTTCCACACTGCGCCTCCTCTGAGCCTCGGAATGCTGTTCTCTTTCCTTCTAGTTGAAGAATCTCTCCTCAGCCAGCCTTCCTGTGGTTCTGGGTGATGTCCGTTCCGTCTTTTAGTTGTATTTTTGAAGTGGTTGTTTGCGGCAGCAATCTCAGGTGTTTACCTATGCCGCCATCTTGGTTTCTCCCTTTGTGGGGATTTTTTAAGTCACTTGTCCATTTCATGAAAGTTAGCTCAGTTAAAACTCAAGGCAGCCCCGGTAACCTGCAAAGCCTCACAAGGAAGGAATGGGAGGTGGTATCCTCTTGTAATCTCAACACCCTGGCTTCCTTCCTTGTGACATCATGTTAAGTCCTAACACCACTGTCAACCCTTTCTATAAATGTTGGTCATGATACAATTAATTCATATTTTGGGACCCACAAAATGAAGACTGCCCCAAAAGGATTAAATTATTTAATAAAAAAAGTAAAGTTGTCAAACAAGTAGAAAAAAATAAGGCAGTTAAAGGATTTAATCTCAGATAGGAAAGGACTTGCAAAGTAAAAAATAATAGAAGAAAACAAAATGGAAAAGACCAATAGTTATATCTAGGATCAATATCTATATTATATATAAATTGCCTTATGTGAATATCCCAGTAAGAAAATGAACAATGAACCAACAACAGGATTCCATACTTGCCCATAAGAAATATACCATGATGACTTTGAGTTAGGAATGAAGACAGGGAGTATATACAATGGAGTCACTGTAACCAAGCTGCTAAAACTAACAGGAGGAAGGTTGAGGCATGAGGAGAGACCATTCTTGTTCTAACTGACCTGGAAACAAACTTTTTTGAACTTTCCAATCCTATGTCAATGCCTGGACATACCTGGACCTCCAGGTAGCCCTCTAACTACCCCCCGAAGGGCTCACCTTTCCAGGCCACCTGATCCCCTGAAAGACTCACATTCACATCCACCCCACATCCATTATTCAGACCACAGGGACTGACCAGAGCTCCTGGAACCCATCACCCTGCCTCCAGCCATCTGACTGATCACTGTCCTAGACCAACCCGAGGGCTACGAACGCAGGACTGACAGTTCTCAACAAAGTGCTTTTTGCTGTAAGAAATTTTCACTACTTTTTCATCTTTGGAACACTTCTGGGTTTTTGCCTCACTGTGTTTCCAGGTTTCAAACTCCAAGATCCTTGAATAAATCTCCATCACTTATTTCTAGCACAGCCTCCAGATTCCTTCTGAGTTTGTTCGACAACCTTGGCACAGTGAAGGACAATCATATACTCTCATAGAGTGCTAGGGGAATTCACAACAACAATAGAGCAACACTAATTTATTATGTGCCATGTGATTCTAAGTATTTACTTTTTACTACCACATCATATGGTGTCATCATACTAGTTTTCTGGGAAGGCACAGTCAAGGTAAAGAATTTGGCCAAATCTCATAGCTTGTAGGAAGCAGCAGGGTTGACTTATCCAACTGTCACAGTAGCCACAGTGCCTTGGGCACATATACTTTTGTGTGTTATGTGCTGTTGAGTTGTCTCCGACTCCTGGCAACCCTATGAATGAGTAATGCCCACAATGTCCCATTCTCAACAGCCCTAGTCAGCTCCTGTGGACTCATGCCTATGGTTTCTTCCATGGAGTCAATCCATCTCATATTTGGTCTTCCTCTTATCTTGCTGCCTTCTATTTTTCCCAGAATTGTTGTCTTTTCCAGACAACCCTACCTTCTCAAGATGTGCCCAAAGAAGGACAGCTTCAGTTTTATCATTTTTGCCTCCAGTGATATTTCAGACTTGATTTGTTCTAGGACCAGTTTGTTCATCTTCCTGGTGATTCAAGGTATTCATAAAGCTCTCTCCAACACCATATGAAAAGGAATCCATTTTCCCCTTTCAGCCTTCTTCACTATTCAACTTTCATATCCATACTTAGTAATTGGGAAGACGAGGATGTGGATGATCTTAGCTTGGTCTCTAATGACACATCCATGCTCTCGGTGATCTTTCCTGATTCTTCCGTTGCTGTCCTCTTGAGTCTCAGCCTTCTCTGGATTTCTTGGCTGAGTCTCCACTGGAATTGATGAGTCAGCCAAGTTCAGCAAAATCTTAACAATTGTGATGTCTTCACTGTTTATATAAAAGTTGGGTATTTCTTCTGTAGTCATGATGTTTTGTCTTTTTGATGTTCAAATGCAGTTCTGCTTTGGTACTTCCTTCTTTCACTTTCATCAGGAGTTACTTGAAATCATTGTTACTGTACTTTTAGGAGCCCATAAAAGCTGTTTTTATTTCTTTTAAAATGGAAAGTTAAAGTTTAGGCTGAAGAAAACGTTTTCATATGTAATATTAATATGTTCATCTTCATCTCAATGCAGTTATAAATATAATTTTTAATATTATTTCATGAGGAAGAGGCCCACAAAGGTAAAAGCATCCAGGGCCCATGAAAACCTGAATGTGGCCCTTTGTGGCATAGTTGCGTTTTGTCCTTTCTGGAAGGCAACTTGACAAAAATTGTTCACATCTTTGATTATTTTTTAAGGATTTAAACTATGACAATAACTATGGACAATGATTTATGAAAATACATTTATTTATAGTAATGTTCTTTTGAAACCAAAGAAATATGTAATAACAAAAGGCTGGTTCAATTTTGATTGTTGACTCAGGGGCCTAGGTGAGTACTAGGAGCTTCTGAATGGAGCTGAGTAGAGGGGGAAACTGTGGCCTTGGGAGAGCTGAGTGAGGGTGAGTAGAGCAGGGAGTGGAAGGAAACCTGTATGCACCCAGGAGACGGACTGCAGCCCTCTATTGGGCATGTGCATGCAATGTCTGGGAGGGCACCTGTAAGCATGTCCTTCAACTTATTTTTAAAGGGACTGGACAGGTGAGGAAAAGGTGAGGGAAAGATTAAAGGAAACAGTACTGGAAAAGCAGACATCAGTGAGCACCATCAGGGGGCTCTGAAGCATTTTTATAATGGAGTGACTGGACATTCAAGCACAGAGGCCTGAATATCATGTTACTCTTTGTCTTGAAAGCTCTGAAGAGCCAATGAAAGATTTTAAGCAGTGGAGTGACACGTTCCGATGAATATTTCAGAAAAATCATCTTAGGTACAGTGTGCCTCACATTCAGCAATGACGAGGCTGCAATGATTAGGAAGAGAATGTGTGTTCATTCAATCAAGAGATGTCTACTGAATCCTACAACAACTCAGGGAGTGTCAATGCCATTCTTGGTTCATGATTCTTTCACAAGTTTAGTTATGATGGAAGAAGAGAGAGAACTAGAAAGAGATTTTAAAGTCAAGGGAAAATTTAAGATAGAAAATATTGAAACAGCCATTGTGCCAAGGAATTGTAGCCAATAGAAAAGGTGGGGCTAACGATATGCCAAGGAGGGGCCACAGGAGAGAGCAGACAGTGAAGAGTGTCACTTTGGGGAAGAGCAGGGCTGCGCAGGCTGGAGAAAGAAGGAACTAGTGAGCTTGGGTGTGATGTAGGTAATTTGTGGGGTTTGGGTGACATGGTTGGGCAAAAATTGTAGAAATCCATGCTGATGGCCTTTATTAGGTCTCTAAAGTAGAAGACCAGGGTGTGGACCTGCAGAGGACTCCTTGTAGATATTCTGGAGTCTTGCAACCATTGCTAACAGAGGCCTCTCACACATGCTCCATATCAGGGAACCCGCCAAGCTGGGCCCACCAGACTCCTGCACTGGACTCCTGCCATCTGAGCCCACCCTAATAAAGAACTCCTGGTATTGTATTCCTGTCCAATGGGAGCTGCACAGCTACATCCTCATTTGCAATTTACCAACCAATCAGAGTGTATCCATAACAACCAATGAGAACACATGATTCTGATATTTGAACCAATCAAATTGAGCAAATTTGGATTCATTTGCATAAAAGTGGACCAATCAGGGGCCGGGCAGGAACTTTAGATAAGGGGTGTCGCCTTGGTCTGGAGGAGCACACCTTTGGTTTCCTTCAGCAGCTGTGTCTCCTCAGTTGGCAAACTGTTCACCTGAATGAAGTCTCCCCTTGTACTGCACCCCAGACTGGGGACTTTTGTTGGCACTTGCTGGGTGGAGAGACCTTCTGTTGACAAGGTCAACTGGTGAGTAACGTGGTCTCCACAGACTTCACTGCAGGGTGGCCTATGTCTAAAAGCAACACGGAACCTACAGCACCTGTGTTGTGTGCAGGTGGGGATGCCAGGCCCTACCGCCCAGGGCTGACCTGCGCACTTGCTCCGTGTTTGTCATCCTACTCATGGGGGCGGTGCAAGGCTTGGTGCATAGCGACAGCTGGCGGGTGGTGCTCTGCTGATGCCGTCATTTACTCTGGCGATGTGTCCTCACGCCCAGCGGGTCACGGGTGTTTACTGGGAGCCTCTACCTGTGCCGTGGAGCGTCCAGGGGAGCGCCAGGCCAGGTCCTCCCTGGAGGTGACGCACTGTCCCGCCCCCGCCGGAAAGTCACGTCAGCGGCGCGCACCTCCGGCCGGCGGAGCCTCTCCCAGTTTCCGCCCTCCGCGGCTCTGGCCCCGCCCACGACCAAGACCACACCCACCACGCCCAGGCCCCGCCCCTCCACGGTCCGGGCCACGCCCCCACGTCCCATTGGCTGGCGGTCCGCGTCCACCGAGCGCCCCGAAGACCCGAGGAGCGGACTCCCCGGCGGCGTCGCGAGCCCTGGTGCGCATGCTCGGCAGCCGGTCACGCTTGCGAGCGGCGGGTGGGGGCG